TCCTAACTCTAGTTATTGTCCAGAAACCATTTTTCTATTTTTAGTAACACTGTAATGGTGACCTTGACCCAAGGGGGTCCAAATGCAATACCAACCCAGGTCTTCATATAAGCTTCCTATACACCAAATAAGATTACAATATCTCATTCCTAAGTCAAGTTATTGTCCGAAAACCATTTTTCTATTTTTCGTAACGGTGACCTTGACCCCAGGGGGGCCAAATGCAAAACCAACCAAAGTCTTCATGTAAGCTTGCTATACACCAAGTTTGATAACAATATCTCATTCCTAACTCTAGTTATTGTACGGAAACCATTTTTAGCTCACCTGTCACAAAGTGACAGGGTGAGCTTTTGTGATCGCTTTTCGTCCGGCGTCCGGCGTCCGTCGTCCGTAAACTTTTACTGTAAATGACATCTCCTCATAAACCACAAGGCCAATTTCATCCAAACTTCACAGGAATGTTCCTTTGGTGGTCACCTTTAAAAATTGTTCAAAGAATTTAATTCCATGCAGAACTCTGGTTGCCATACCAACCGAAAGAAAAAACTTTAAATATCTTCTTTTAAAAATCATAAGAGCTAGAGCTTAGATATTTGGCATGAAACATCTTCTAGTGAGTGTCTACCAAGTTTGTTCAAATAAAAGCCCTGGGGTCAAAATTGGCCCCGCCCCGGGGGGTCATTGATTTTCCCTATATGCATATAGTAAAAACTTAAAAAATCTTCTTTTAAAGAACTCAAAGAGCTATGGCTAAGATATTGAGCATCAAACATGTTCTAATAGGTGTCTACCAAGTTTGTTCAAAGAAAAGCCCTGGGGTCAAAATGGGCCCCGCCCCAGGGGGTCATTGATTTTCCCTATATGCATAAAGTAAAAACTTAAAAAATCTTCTTTTAAAGAACCAAAAGAGTTAGAGCTAAGATATTTAGCATGAAACATGTTCTAATAAGTGTCTACCAAGTTTGTTCAAATAAAAGCCCTGGGGTCAAAATTGACCCCGCCCCGGGTGGTCATTGATTTTCCCTATATATGCATATAGTAAAAACTTAAAAAATCTTCTTTTAAAGAACTCAAATAGCTATGGTTAAGATATTTAGCGTCAAACATGTTCTAATAGGTGTCTACCAAGTTTGTTCAAATAAAAGCCCTGGGGTCAAAATTGGCCCCGCCCAGGGGATCATTGATTTTCCTTATATGTGTATAGCAAAAACTTAAAAAATCTTTTTTGAAAAAACCCAAATAGCTAGAGTTAAGATATTAAGCATGAAACATCTTTTAGTGAGTGTCTACAAAGTTTGTTCAAATAAAAGTCCTGGGGTCAAAATTGGCCCCGCCCCGGGGTCATTGATTTTCCTTATATGTGTATAGCAAAAACTTAAAATCTTCTTTGAAAAAACCCAAATAGCTAGAGTTTAGATATTAAGCATGAAACATATTCTAGTAAGTGTCTACAAAGTTTGTTCAAATAAAAACCCTGGGGTCATAACTGGCCCGGCCCCAGGGGTGTCATTGTTTTTAACTATATGTGTATAGTAAAAACTTTAAAAAAATCTTCTTTTAAATAGCCCAATGAGCTAGAGCTTAGATGTTTAGCATGAAACATCTTGTTATGGGTGTCTACCAAGTTTGTGCAAATAAAAGCCCTTTGGTTAAATTGGCCCTGCAACGTTTGGGGGTTGGGGGGTTGGGGGGGCCTATATACAGGTGAGCGACCTCAGGGCCATCATGGCCCTCTTGTTCTATTTTTAGTAACACTGTAACGGTGACCTTGACCCTAGGGGGTCCAAATGCAATACCAACCCAGGTCTTCATATAAGCTTCCTTTACACCAAATTAGATTACAGTATCTCATTCCTAAGTCAAGTTATTGTCCGGAAACCATTTTTCTATTTTTAGTAACAATGACCTTGACCTTGACCCCAGGGGGTCCAAATGTAATACCAACCCAGGTCTTCATATAAGCTTGCTATACACCAAGTTTGATTACAGTATCTCATTCCTAAGTCAAGTTATTGTCCGGAAACCATTTTTCTATTTTTAGTAACGGTGACCTTGACCCCAGAGGGCCCAAATGCAATACCAACCCAGGTCTTCATATAAGCTTGCTATACCCCAAGTTTGATAACAATATCTCATTCCTAACTCTAGTTATTGTCCGGAAACCATCTTTCTACTTTTAGTAACAGTGACCTTGATCTTGACCCCAGGGGGTCCAAGTGCAATACCAACCGGAGTTTCCACATAAGGTTGCTATATACCAAGTTTGATTACAATACCTCATTCCAAACTCTAGTTATCGTTCGGAAACCATGATGTGGACCGACCGACAGACCGACCAACTGACAAGCTGACTCCTATATAACCCCCTAAACTTCGTTTGTGGGGGCATAAAAATGAGAAAAATGAACATACAGTTAATTCTGTAAATAATTAAAGCTGTCAAAATATTTATTTCTTTCATAGAATTTTGTATATTTTTGATATATTAAGTAAAATTTTATGGTGGATTCAAAAGTAGAAATAAAAATTAATGTTGATGTGTTAGTTTTTAGCTCGACTATTCGAAGAATATGAGAGCTATTGTAGTCGCCCCGGCGTCGGCGTCCGCGTCCGCGTCGGCGTCTGCGTTGGTTAAAGTTTTTTGTAAAGTCAAATATCTATATTATTACTTGTGATATTCAATTGAAACTTACAATAGTTATTTATAGTAACAAGGTACATCAGATTGACAAGTTGGATAACTCTGCCTACAATATTGACAGAATTATGCCCCTTTTTAACTTAGAAATTTTGGTTAAAGTTTTTTGTAAAGTCAAATATCTCAATTATTGCTTGAGATATTCAATTGAAACTTACAATACTTATTTATAGTAACAAGGTACATCAGATTGACAAGTTGGATAACTCTGCCTACAATATTGACAGAATTATGCCCCTTTTTAACTTAGAAATTTTGGTTAAAGTTTTTTTTGTAAAGTCAAATATCTCTCAATTATTGCTTGAGATATTCAATTGAAACTTACAATACTTATTTATAGTAACAAGGTACATCAGATTGACAAGTTGGATAACTCTGCCTACAATATTGACAGAATTATGCCCCTTTTTTTAACTTAGAAATTTTGGTTTAAGTTTTTTGTAAAGTCAAATATCTCAATTATTGCTTGAGATATTCAATTGAAACTTACAATATTATTTATAGTAACAAGGTACATCAGATTGACAAGTTGGATAACTCTGCCTACAATATTGACAGAATTATGCCCCTTTAGAACTTAGAAATTTTGGTTAAAGGTTAAAGGTCTTCAAAGATATTTACTTGAAACTTTACACATGCATGTAGGGTCATAATTGGAGGGTCATAATTGTATTTCACTGACCAAGTTCCATAACTCTATCTTGCATTAAGGCTGATTCATATCCCCTTTTCTACTTAGTCTCTTGGTTAATGTTAGCATGCAAGTTTTACATATCTCAATAACTATTAAAGATATTTATTTAAAACTTCACATATGCATTTAGAGTCATAATTGTAGTTCACTGACAAGATCATAATTCTATCTTGCATTTAGGCTGATTTTTTCTCCCCTTTTTTAACTTAGAAATTCATGGTAAAGTTTTGCTTGTAAGCTGTTATCTCAAAACTACTGAAGGGTTTGAGCCTTTTTTGAGTAAATTTAAGCATTAATAATAATAAAAGCTGTGATTTACTTAATAAAACATCTTAATAACAAGCCTTTGTACCTTTTCTGTCAAATTTATGTATTCATAGGTAATTAGTATTATTATACTCAATAAAACACCCTTGTGACATTACCTTCCGAATAGTCAAGCCAATACTGTATAATTAGACTCTCTTCAAGGCCTATAACTTGAATTTATAAAAAAAAATTAGCCCTTTTGTGAACTTAAAAAATTTAACATTATCAAGGCTCTTTTACTATCAAGCACTTAGAATAGTCGAGCGTGCTGTCCTTCCGACAGCTCTTGTTTTGTAAACGGGCAGTTTCCATGGTTACCGCATATGCCAGTTGTCAAAATTACCACGCTTTCTTGAGAAATATCATTGTTATACTAAATGCATTGTCATATATACAACAAAACATATTGTAATATAAAGTTCTATTTCTTTTGATGTTATATGAAGTAAATGATACTGAATATGTTTTTAAAAGGCCATATTATTTCTTCACTCGACTAACATACCTGAAAAGTAAGCAAGTATTCAAAAACTTACAAAAAAATAATGAAATTGGGAACATTTCCTGAGATATTATTTTTTTAATTTTTTTTTTTTTATTTTTAAGATATAGGTTTATCTATCATTTTTAATTTTTTTGCACACTTGTCTGCCAGAGATCAAGTGACGACGCACTTTCGTCACTATAACCACACGTGGTAGGGTTATTGCACGCAGAATCATCATCAATGCTGTTGTTCTAATGCTAGGAGAAATCCTTTATCTGATGTTGTGTAAATGACCTCTAATTTTTTTTTCCGATCTCCTGAATATTTAGAAATATTTATTCTGTATTATTTACTGATTATTTGCTTAAAGCCAAAATTTTAACAGTTATTCGAGTACTGTTCAACTTGACCTTCTTTTTGAAGAGTAATTATCCATGATTATCTTTCTTGGAAGCGCATAATGATGCGCACAAAAAACTACTGAAAACATCTTTAAAATCGAAAATTGATGTTGGATTCATTGATATCTGGATATCACTATGTAAAATATTTACTGGGTTACAAATTACAAAACCCTTGTTTTAAATTGAAGAAAAATTTAGCAAACTATTTGTGGTGATAATCATTGCATGTGATTAATATAACAAGAATTAGATTGTTTACTCATGAAAAAAAAAAAAGAAAAAAAAAACAACCTGATATACTGTATCAAATACATAGAATAAACCAAAACAGTATGTTTATGCTTTTCATTCAAATTCATATAATTTTTGAATTTTGTTTTAAGCCTTGTTTGGTGTACCAATGGATATATGTGTTGAACAGTAATGCAAGAGCCACATTGTCATATTGCAAGAATGCTGCTGAAGCTACTGCACTTTCTGAAATACACTTCATCGACATAAAGCCTGAAACTGTAAAAATAATTCAGGAGGCTTTCCCAAGCTAAAGGGACAGAAGGGAAACCAGTGGAAATCACTAGGGGAGCAGATTCAGAAAGTTTTGGAGCTACCAGTCTTAAAACAACAGAGGGTTTGGAGCTAACCAGTCTTAAAACAACAGAAGGTTTTGGAGCTACCAGTCTTAAAACCACAGAAGGTTTTGGAGCTACCAGTCTTAAAACAACAGTAAGCAAAGGTTCACAAAAGTTACCAGTGCCACTTGCATATGAAGAAGGTTGGAAACATAATGTTTTTTGCTTCCTTGAGTCAGAAAAGCTTGAGTCAGAAAAGCTAAACATTTTCTTTCTAAAAGACATTTTTTCTGTGAAAGCTAATGGAATAGTTGTATCAGTAAATGAAAAAGGGAAGTGTGGTGCTATTGGAGAAGCACTTCAAAACAAAATACCAAAGTCTTACTTACCTAATTTCAAAAGTGAATTGGAAAGAAAAATGAATAAAAGTACCAAGACAGGAGATGTTATAGTAAATGGTGGATACAGTTGTGGTTATCAAGCAGTACTTCTTGTTATATATCCATATAAAGCTAGACGTAAACCACAAGATGAAAGACAAGCTGATCTGGAAAGGGCTTATAAAAATGTATTGTTGGTAGCTGCTAGAGATAAACAGATACATACAGTTGTTACAACATTGTTTGGAATAGGTATGTGTCATTCATTTATAAAACAAAAAAAATACCAAACAATTTTATTGTTTATGCACAAAGTATTGTGTATTTCATTTACAAATTTGTATGCAAGTATATTTATGTCACTCTTTTGGGCAAACTTATTATGAAAACTTTTAAAATTTATTTGAGGCCGCAATTTTCTTGCTAATGAAGACTGTGTTATACATGTATTAGTGACATGTTATAGGTGTTACAGATAGATCACAAGGTTGTAACAGTCATGTGATAAGAATTCTTAACAAATGTGAACAATCTTTTGAAAAAACCAGAAAGCCTAATTACATGAATTTGCATCATATACCCTAGATTCTGTTTCTTGATCAAACCAGTTCATTGTTTTCCACTCCATTATTTGATAATGCATTGGCTTTTAATGTGATTTTGGCATCAATAGTACAATTTTTTGAGTAACAATTAAGTTTAAAGGGATTCTACTATGTTTTTTGACATGACGGGACTGGAAATATTATTCCGAGATTTATGTACCATTTGATGAATGTCTGAGCGCAAAATTTCATATTATCCCATCACACATTTTCCAGCAAAATGATTCAAATTGAGAAAATGTTGCAATGCTTTTCCCACAAATTGTGCTGAAAATCTCACAAAAATTAAATCCATTTAATCATAATTTTCCTCAGCAGATTTTTCATTTTCAGTGCTTAACTTTGTCAAAATAAGAATTAGAAATTTTATGTTTCTAGGTTTATGACAGATTTGAATAATATTTAAACAAAAAAACACTTTTGTCTAAACTGACATGTTGAATAGGTCAGATATGACCTTGACCTTAAAATGATTGATAAATATAGTTTTTTTGCTATGCCAAAACATTGTTATTAATGAAAATGGACAGATTTAAAAATACTTGTACAAAACAACCCTTATGACAACATTGAGTATATGTTGATTTAAGCATGACTTTGGTCTGTAAATGACCTAGACTGTCATGGTCAAATATGAAATTATATGATTAATATAACACTGACCATATAAATCTTTTTGTGCCCCCACTTAAGGGGGGTGAAATTTAGATTTATCCTTCCGTCCGTCCGCTCTCATTTTGTATCGCAAATAGCTCAAAAAGTTTGTGAACTAGAGTCATGAAACTTTACAGGAATGTTGATCAACATGTGTAGTTGTGCACCTAGGTATTTTCATGTGGATTGATTCAGTATTTTTAGAGTTATTGCCCTTCACTTAGTAAAAATTTGCAATTCTCAACTTGTGCTGCATGTAACTCAAAAAGTATTTGACATAGAGTCTTGGAATGGTAACAGGAATGTTGCTCAGCATGTGAAGTTGTGCACCTGGGTTTTCTCTTGTTGATTTATTCTGTTTTCTTAAAGTTATTGCCCTTGTGTTAGTAAAAAAACTTGCAATTTTCAACTTGTGTAGAATATTGCTAAAAAAGTATTTGACCTAGGGTCTTGAAACTTTACTGGAATGTTTAACAGCATAATTATGTAGATGTGCACCTGTGTATTTTTGTGTGGATATATAAGTATTTTTATAGTTATTGTGCTTGACTTAGTAAAAATTACAATTTTCAACTTGTGAAGCATGTAACTGAAAAAGTATTTGAAAAATGTCATGGAACTTTACAGGAATGTTGATTAGCATGTGAAGTTGTTCACTTTGGCTTTCGCTTGTGAATTTATGTGTTTTGTCAGAGTTATTATCCTTGACTTAGTGAAAATTTGCAATTTTCAATTTTCTGTGTTGCGTAGCCCAAATGTATTTAACCTAGAGTCATGAAAACTTAACAGGAATGTTGATCAGCATGTATATTTGTTCACCTTGGGTTTCGCTTGTGGATTTATCCAGTATTTGTAGAGTTATTATGCCCCCATTTCGAAGAAAAGGGGGTATATTGCTTTGCACTTGTCGGTCCGTCGGTCCGTCGGTCTGTCGGTCCGTCGGTCCGTCGGTCCGTAGACCAAATGGTTTCCGAGTGATAACTAAAGAACCCTTAGGCCTAGGAACTTGAAACTTGGTATGGTGATTGGTCATGACCAGTAGATGACCCCTATTGATTTTGGGGTCAAGGGGTCAAAGGTCAAGGTCACATTGACCTTGAAAGCAAAAACGGTTTCCGATCAATAACTAAAGAACCTTAAGGCCTAGGAACTTCAAACTTGGTATGGTGATTGGTCATGACCAGGTAGATGACCCCTATTGATCTTGGGGTCAAGGGTCAAAGGTCAAGGTCACATTGACCTTGAAAGCAAAAACGGTTTCCGATCAATAACTAAAGAACCTTAATGCCTAGGAACTTCAAACTTGGTTATGGTGATTGGTCATGATCAGTAAGATGACCCCTATTGATTTTGGGGTCAAGGGGTCAAAGGTCAAGGTCACATTGACCTTGTAAGCAAAAAACGGTTTCTGATCCAATAACTAAAGAACCTTAAGGCCTAGGAACTTCAAATTGGTATGGTGATTGGTCATGATCAGTAGATGACCCCTATTGATTTTGGGGTCAAGGGGTCAAAGGTCAAGGTCACATTGACCTTGAAAAGCAAAAAACGGTTTCCGATCAATAACTAATGAACCTTAAGGCCTAGGAACTTCAAAACTTGGTATGGTGATTGCGTCATGATCAGTAGATGACCCCTATTGATTTTGGGGTCAAAGGTCAAGGTCACATTGACCTTGTAGGTTAAAAACCGGTTTCCAATCAATAACTAAAGAACCTTAAGGTCCCTAGGAACTTCAAACTTGGTATGGTGATTGGTTATGACCAATCAGATGACCCCTATTGATTTTGGGTTAAGGGTCAAAGGTCAAAGGTTCACATTGACCTTGTAGTAATAAAAACGGTTTCCGATCAATAATGAAAGAACCCTTAGGCCTGGGACTTCAACTTGGTATGGTGATTGGTCATGAAAGCAGATGATCCCCTATTGATTTTGGGTTAAGGGGTCAAACGGGCAAGGTCACATTGACCTTGTAGGTAAAAATGCTTTCGATCAATAACTTAAGAACCCCTTATGCTAGGAACTTCAAACTTGGTATGGTGATTGGTCATGACCAGCAGATGACCTATTGATTTTGGGGTCAAGGGGTCAAAGGTCAAGGTCACATTGACCTTGTAGTTAAAAACGGTTTCCGATCAATTAACTAAAAACGCTTAGGCCTAGAACTTCAACCTTTGTGTGATGATTGGTCAATGACCAGCCAGATGACCCTATTGATTTTAGGTGAAGGGGTCAAAGGTCAAGGTCACATTGACCTTTTAAGTAAAAACGGTTCTTGATCAATAACTCAAGAACACTTAGGCCTAGGAACTTCAAACTTGGTATGGTGATTTGTCATAGACCAGCAGATTACTCCTATTGATTTTGGGATTAAGGGGTCAAAGGTCAAGGTCACAATGACCTTGTAAGTAAAAAACGGTTTCTGATCAATAACTAAAGAACGCTTCGGCCTAGGAAAACTTCAAACTTGGCATGGTGATTGGTCATGACGCAGGCAGATGACCCCTATTGATTTTGGGGTCAAAGGTCAAGGTCACATTGACCTTGTATGTTAAAACGGTTTCCGATCAATAATAAGAGAACCCTTAGGACTAGGAACTTCAACCTAGGCATGGTGATTGGTCATGACCAGCAGATGACCCCTATTGATTTTGGGGTCAAGGGTCAAAGGTCAAGGTCACATTGACCTTGTAGGTAAAAACGGTTTCTGATCAATTTACTAAAAACGCCTAGCCTAGGAACTTTCAAACTTTGTATGATATTTGGTCCGTGACCAGCAGATGACCCCTATTGAGTTTTGGGTCAAGAGGTCAAAGGTCAAGGTCATGACCAGTAGATACTTTATAACCCTTATTAATTGTTTGATCACTGGGTCAGAAGTCATGCATAATAACCTTATCACATGACTAATTGGCTGCTGATAGGGGGCATACATGTTTTACAAACATATCTTGTTGCCCTTGACTTAGTAAAAACGGTTTCATTATGTTATGTTATTTGTTCCTTAGTATCAACCAACTTCACAGGAATAATGATCAATATCACTGAGAAGCTATGCACCTGGGATTTTGCATGTGGATTTTGTTCAGTTTTGTTAGAGTTATTGCCGTTGACTTAGTAAAAATTTGCAATTTTCAACATATTCATGCATAGCTCAAAAAGTATATGACCTGTAGGCCTGAAAATTTACAAGAATGTTGGTCAGCATGTGTAGTTATGCACCTTGGGGTTCACTTGTGGATTTATTCAGTATTTGTAAAGTTCTTGCCCTTTACTTAGTAAAAGATTTTTAGTTTTTAACTTATGGCACAAGTAGCCCAATAAAATATTTGACCTAGAGTCATAAGATTGACAAAACAGTGTAGTGTGAGGGCACCCGTGTCCTATGGACTTATTTTAAGTTTTAAACATAGTTAAAAAAGTGTGTGCTAATACATAGGAAATATGATTTAATAAATATTACCTTGGTTTTATAATAAGTTGGACTGCTTCACTTTGTTGCTGGATACCTTTCATTACAAAATCTATATCAATTGACCGCTGAAAATTGAATGTGGTGTAAATACTTAGTAGTTATGGAAAAACTGAATTCATATGATAAAAGATTTTATATATGCATGTTGGAGCATAAAGGTAAAGAGCTTTCATGACTTATTTTCTTTTTATATCACATTTTGTTTAAAAGAAGCTGCTGTATAGTGTCAAAGCCAAATTAACCAGCTGTTATTTTCTTTTTCTATAGAATCAAACAATGATGATGAGATCAAATTTGCTGCAAATTGTTTCCTGAAGAGCTACCTAGAATATTGTAAGCAAAAACTGATAGAAAAGGACTCATTTCAAAAGGAAGTGACAATTGTTTGCCAGACAGAGCATGCTCATAGCCTTGTATGTGAAGTTTTTATGAAGTATGTACAAGACCAAAAAGACAAGGAAATGGAAAAGACAAGTGTCTCAGGAAACCCTCAGGTATGAATGTGTTTTAGGATATAGTTTTAATATGTTAAATATCCAAGGGCACCTCACCAGTAGGGACATAAATTTGATTCAAAATAAAGTTTAAAGTGTTTGCATTATGGCCATGCAATTGAGTTATTGATTTGAACAAATATGACTACATATGAAGCATGAGGACTTGGCAAATGATAAAAAAAACACAAGATTTTGATGGCATAATTATTTGCCTAGTATGCATTTCTGAATTTCTGTGCTCTTCTTAAAAATTTGCAATTCAGCATTTTTGTAAGCATTCAAACTAATGAATCAACCAGAGAATGGAGGTGACCAAATGAATATTTTGCACCTGATTGCATCTCCCAACACCACAGATATGGTTATGGGTCTCAAGGAATAAGCGTAAATTGCAAAATAGACTTACATATATAGTAGAACACTATGAGTGGAGCCTCGATTAGTCGATTTCCTTGAAAAGTCAAATGAAATTCCCACTTTTTTTCCATTCTATATTCTTTGTAAAAAACCATATATGAATCAAAATCTTTATGTCAGATTTTTCTATGTGTCAAAGTTTTGTTCATGGTCTATTTAAGTGACATTATGCCCATCCAAATGTATAAATTAGCGAACAGGTGAAAGTCAAAATAAGTGTTCATTTTGTTATAATTCCTTTTAATAAATTTAAAGCAATTATTTCACATTAACAATAAACAACACATGGATCCAAATGATTTTTTTTTGTAAATATCAATAAAAATTTACCCCTATTGATTTTGAGGTCACTGGGTCAAGGTCACAGGGAAACTTGAGTAAAAAAAGCTTGTCTGCCCAATAACTTAAACTTCTTTAGATCAACAGTCTTCATATTTGGTATAGAGGTTGTTCATGACTAGTAGATGACCACTATTGATTTAGGTGACTGTGTCAAAGGTCAAGGTCACAGGGATTTTTACTATAATAAGCTTGTCTGCTCAAATGCTTAAGAATGCCTGTCAGCAGTGTATTGATTTTCACATTTGAAGCATGTAGAATACATAACTTAGCAATGCACTGGCTTAGTGACCTCAGATTTGGCAGGGAGTAAATGGCCACTGTTGATTCTGACAAGGTGGTGTGCGGGGGTATTCATGCCATGACAGTGGCAGTTCTAGTTTATTTTGAATAGAGTTAAATATAATTGAATAAAGAACATCAATGACTTATTTTGAAGGATGATACAAAAGCATCCGCTGGTGAGTTAGAAGATTGTGTCATATGTCTTGATGGAATCAAGGAACCAAAGCGTCTAGATTGTGGCCATACCTTTTGTGAAGAATGCATAGAGCAACATTTTAAGTTTGCTCAGAAATGTCCAACATGTGGACATGTCTGTGGAAAAATAACAGGTAGTGTATAATCATTTTCTATAATTAACTGAAGCTAGCAGTATGATGTGTTAAACAATTTGATGAGATGTAAAAATTATGGGAATCTTCAAAACTTGTATGTCATTCTTAAGGACGTTTTCGGGAGTTTTCATATAGGCAAAATTAAAACTGTTCAATAGAGTTTCTTTAAACTTGGCATGTTGTTAGTATATGATAACAGAAAAAATTTGGGGTTACTGTTCTCGTTTTTGAGTTATCTGCCCCTGAATCAGAATTTTCTACTTATTTGAGGTCATTTCAAGGGCAGATAACTTATACATACTTAAATGAATTCTTGTTTTACTTCTGAATTATGTTTTTCTTTTAATTGTTGAGTACGGTACATAATAACGTGCAATTCCTTATATCATTTTTGTTTGTTTTTTTTCAATGAAAATAAAGATACTTTTAATTCTTAAAAAGTAGGCCATTTTTTTAAGAAAAAATGCACAGGTAAAAAGTAGTGAAAAAAAAATTATCAACTCTAAACTTCTTGAAATTTTGCATATCACCTAAAACGAAGGTTAGCTTCATGAAAATAAGAAAAAAAATGTATTGTTTCCTTTCATTGTAAATTATCTGCCCTTGAATTTAACGAAAAAGTCCAATTCAAGGGCAGATAACTCAAAAATGAGAACGGTGACCCTCAATTTTTTTTTCCTTGTAATATGTTTGTGTTATCATATTCTAACAACATGCCAAGTTTATAGAAATTCTATTGAACAGTTTTAATTTTGCCTATATGAAAACTCTCGAAAATGTCCTTAACCTAATTGCTTAGAAATTTGTGATTAATTACAAATTAACTGTCACAACAAGTTTGAAAGTATGGAGCAGAATTTGGGTATTTATTCGCTGTTTATCTTTCAATTTCTAATTATCTAATTTATATTGGTATTCTTATCTATAATCATATAAATTGAAATGGATTTAAACAAGTTTAATTGCTACTTTTTAATTGACAGTTAAACATTTGTATTTTGATACTGCAGAATGTAAGGATCAATTGTTTCTACTTCTTGTATAAACAACGTGATTAGATATTATGTTGCATACTTCTTCCTTTTTAATTTGAATAATTTAGTTTTAACTCATGATCTTGAACATCCTTTCTTTTAAGAATACAAAGTGGGTTACAGTGGCAAATACGCCGAAAATAACAAGGACGGCATAAGCCGTCCCTATGGCAGTGAAAGGGTTAAGGAAGTAGCCACGATATGCAAGGGTAAAGTGTGGCTGTGATAAAAAAATAAACATAAATGATTTTTGATGCAACTTATGCAAAATTCCGTATGTATCAAACTCAAACTGTTATAGTAAAAAATCTAAACGCAGTCACCCTGTAAGATGAATTTAAGTATATAAAAATAAACTTATACAGGAAAATACATACAGATATACATTACAATTTAGTTGGAAAGATCCCTGATAGTGGGTAAATGTACTGCCTTACTTTTTTCTCTAAAATATGTTTGACAACCTCTTGGTATTTGTCAAAAAAAAGAGGTAAAATGACTTTGATATTTAAAATGAAACACTTCTTAAGATACACAGTTTTCAGCAAAACATGTCGTACAATTTGCACATTACACTTTCAAAATATATTCTTAACAGTTGAGAAAGTAAATACAAAAGTTGTAATAAAAGCATGGTCGAACAGGTTTTCATTTTTGAAAATATTTGATATTTATAAATGATTATATAATCAGAAAAGAGGACCACATACATTAAATTCATTAAGATATAGCACATAACAGTAATATTGGAATCACAGCATTTAAGCACCAATGGCGGTAATGGTGTGCATTGAGAAAATAAAATGTTTTTTCTTTGTACAAATGTATGCAAAATGTACATTCTCTGTTTTCAAACTTTGATAATATTATAATATATACCTGGATCATCAGTCATCATTGTTCATGACTACTGTTCATAACACTATATGAATCAAAACTGTTTGCATTTTGTTTAGAATTCAAATTTATTACACAGATAATCTGCAAAAGATCTTAAGTAAATCTGAATCTCAAACAAATTGAAAAAGAAGAAAGAAGTGTACTTTCATCTAAAGTCAGCTTGTATGATATATTAATAGAAAAATATTTAAGGATTTAGTCTTTGTAAAGTTTTTCTACAGACTTGCAGAATATTTTCAACAATGTTTAAATTAATAAAACAATTTTGTTCAAAATTTAAAATTTCATTTATATCAAAATATTTAACGTACAACAGGTGTAACTCAAATATTTGTACCACTTTTACCAAATTGCAAGAGGGAATTTGAGTCTAACTCAAGTTAGTCTTGTATTGCGCTCAGAATTTCAGTGCAATAAAGATCTAACTCTAAAATACACAATTTGTAACATTTTAATAAAAAATTATATAAATGGCATTATTATACGCCCGTTTGAAAAACGGGACGTATTATGGGAACGCCCCGGGCGATCTGGCGTATGGGCGGGCGGGCGGCGTCCAATTTTGTCCGGAGCATATCTCCTACATGTATGGAGGGATTTTAATGAAACTTCATAGAAATGTTCACCACTATGAGGAGCAGTGTCGCGCACATGAACCAGGTCTCTAGGTCAAAGATCAAGGTCACACTTAGAGCTCATTGAAAAGATGCTTGTCCGGAGCAAAACTTCCACATGTATAGAGGGATTTCAAATATTACTTGGCACAAATGTTCACCATTGTAGGCGGAGTGTCGCGCGCAAGATTCAGGTTCTTGCGGCCAAGGTCAAGCGTCACACATAGAGGTCAAAGTTCAGATAAAAAAATGAAGTTTGTGTATATGGGACCATTTAGTCATCATTTATTGAGGGATGTAACAACCAAATGGTCATAATCAATACTATGGCTGTGATACATATAATTTAGGTCAATATATACAAGGTCAAGGTCACTAAGATGATGAAATATCCAGATTTTGTACGGAGCATATCTCCTACACGCATGGAGGGAAATTTTAATGAAATTTCATAGAAATGTTCTGACCATTATGAGAAGCCAGTGTCACGCACATGAACGTTAAGGTCTCTAGGTCAAAGGTCAAGGTCACACTTAGAGCTCATTGAAAAACCCTTTGCTTCCGGAGCAAAAACTTTCCACATGCATAGAGGGATTTCAATATAACTTGGCACAAATTTGTTTACCATTGTGAGGCGGAGTGTCGCGCACAAAATTCAGGTCCCTGCAGTCAAGGTCACACATAGAGGTCAAAGTTTAGATAAAAATTATGAAGATGTGTTATAGGACGATTTAATTCATCATTTATTGAGGGATTGTAACACAAATGGTCATTTATCATGACTACGGCTGTGACACATGTTACTTTAGGTCAATATATGCAAGGTCAAGGTCACTAAAGATGGTGAAATATCCAGATTTTGTCTGGAGCATATCTCCTACATGTATGGAAGAATTTTTAGTGAATACTTTATGGAAATTGTTCACCCACCAATGATATGTATTGATTTATGCATGATCCAGGTCTCCAGGTTAAAGGTCAAGGTCACACTTAGAGCTCATTGAAAAAAACGCTTGTCCGGAGCAAAACTTCTACATTCATAGGGGGATTTCAATAATAACTTGGCACAAATGTTCATCATTGTGAGGCTGAGTGCCATGCATAAAATTCAGGTCCCTGCGACCAAGGTCAAGGTCACACATCCTGTGCATATCTTCCCTACTGATTTGTTTTAAGGTTCATTTAACAACACAGTGCCAAGAATAAAAACTTGCTTGCTAGATAACACTTATCCATAATGCCCCCATCTCCATCTAAAGCTTTCGTAAACGGGCGTATTTTGTGACTATGGCACCCTTGTTTCTTATTATAATTAATGTTAACAGAGCAAAAAAATGTTTTCTAATATAAGTATTTTTGAATAAAATCAGTTTTTTGTCTCTCCTGAACATTTTCAAAAATAGCAGTTAGACCAGTATTGCGCTGAGCCATCGATTTGTTTTTGAGTAATAATATAAGGGGTATTCAATTGTATCCTGATACTCTGGAAATATTTATGATCATGTTTGCAGATGATATAGCGTCTGTATCTGATTCTATCGTTGGTCTTCAACGACAGCTCAATTGTCTCCAAGATTTTTGTAATCAATATAAACTTGTTAATATAGACAAAACAAAAATTATGGTTTTTAAAAATGGGGGACAATTGTCAAAACATGAGCATTGGCACTATTCTGGAAAAAATATTGAAGTTGTTAAAGGATTTGATTATGTAGGTGTTCATTTTAGCAGCAAATTATCTATGTACAAAATGGCAGAGCATATGTCTATTAAGGCAAAAAGAGTGTTTCTGTATATTCTAAGTTCTGTTCAGGAATACGGTTGCATACCTTATAATACTTTCTTTATAATATTTGATGTTAAGATAAAACCTATTATGCTGTATGGTTCGGAATTGTGGGGTCTTAGTATAACAGAATCACTCCATATATTTTGTTGTAAAAAATCTTTACAAGTAAACTCTAATGCTTGCAATGATGCAGTTATGGGTGACTTGGGACGATACCCTATGTATATCTACTCATCAAAAAATTGTATTAAATATTGGCTAAGATTGTTAAAAATGCCAAACGATAGATATCCTAAATTATGTTATAATATGCTATTATATAATGATACAATAGGTAGGAAAAATAGGGTTTCAGATATCAGAGAAAATTTATTTAGTAATTGTTTTGGCTTTATTTGGGAAAACCAAAATGAAACTATTAATGATGATTTTTTGAATCTGTATGTCAATAGTCTAAAAGGTTAATATCTACAAAATTGGAGTGCCAAATGTATGCTTAATAAGAAATTGACATATTATTCATCATATAAAACAAGATTTACAGTTGAATATTATGTACATGTCCTGGATATTGTCAAATTTCGAAAATGTTTTGCTTCTTTTAGATGCTCTGTTCACATCTTCTTATTGAAACAGGAAGACACTATGGCTTAAGTAGAG